GTCGCCCCCTTCGCACTTCGTCAAAATGGGGATCAACGGGAAACGGCTCGGGGCGGGGGTGCGTCCGGGGAGGGCAGGATATTGTCGAGGGCACCGATTTTTTTAATAACGCGCACGACGCATCTCGTGTCTCCCGCCAATCCCGGATTTTCTGGCGCTTACAAAATATAAGTGGGCCCAGCACAGTCGAGAAACACGAGATTCGTGCCGATCCCACACGCATACATACAGGAAGTCGGAGAGACATTTACGTTGAAAGGAGAATACGAGGAAGGAAAAGAAGGAAAGATAAAGAGCAAGAAGGAAGTTTTGAGGGGAAAAGTGGATAAGAGAGGGAGAACACCAGAAGCTTTCTCCGTGACCAAGGATGCTCAGTGATTTCTTTTTTGCGGGGATCGATAGATCCGGCGCGTGTCTGCTCGATCCCCAAATAGATTAAATTACAATTAGAACGCGGAAAGCTCGCCACGCTCGCCCGAGAAGCACGCGTTTATATAAAAAAAAATCTTTAAAATATATCTATATAAAAAATTATCCATTTGTTTTTATCTTTCTTTAAATACTAAAAATATGTTCATATACAACTAATAAAACGCAGTAAATCGCATAAAGTAAAGTAAAATAATTATCTATTACTTTCAAAATAGACAAGTGGATTCTATCAGAATGATTATATTGAAATAACATTTTTTTTCACTTTATAAATTACCGATAAAGATGTCTCAAATATTTAAAAATCGTAAACGATAAAAATTGACTATATTTTAAGGCAATATTAAAGATTCACAGTTTGATGTGGTATCGATTTAAATACTCTCTCGAAATTACTTCAGATCATGAAAAGTTACAAATATTAAAAAATAAAAATGTTGAGTAATAAAAACACGTGTTCCTCGTGCGAAAACATGCGAACTTGACGCTGAACAATATTCAACATTTAACAATAGCCAACATTTATAGAATAAGATACCAATTTTAGTATTTATCGTTAAATTCATTCTCTCTCGCGATCGCGCCAATCTCGCCGCTTTCTCAAATTTCTTCTTATTCCCCTTTTTTTTTATCTGCCATGCCAGATTGCGCGAACCGGTCCACGAACAATCAAACGCAAAAACGCAGACCGACGCGATATATATAAATTAACATAGTATATCACGCAGCAATATAAATTTCTTTCCACACAATAATAGCATATGTATGTATATTTCTCTCTTCTTCCCCCATGCAGTGTTTCTCAAATTTATTTCTTCCTTCTGCCGATCGGCGAGAATTCTCGATCAGGAACGGATTTATACGGACAGCGATAATATTTATGCTCGGATCCTACTAATCAAGCGATCCCCATAACTTAATTTCTAAATATATTCGTTCCTAAATATCCGTTTTTTAAATTATACATAACATCACAAAAATACTGCTACTCTCAGCATTCTACTTTACACATGCAGAACTCACTCTTCAATTAAGACGCCGTTTTAAGAGATTTAATTCAAATTAAAATTTTAAAACATATCTCCTATTTCTTATTAAAACATTATCTCATCATTTACTAAAATTTATTAAAATTACATTAAATAATTTATTAAAATTAATTAAATTACATTAATCTATTAAAACTGTTAGGTTTTCGAAGACCACTAACACATGTCTATACATTTTGATAGTTATAGAAGGTTTGCGTAGAATAAGAATATTTTAATTATTTCTTTCCTCAATTTCCGTTGCTCACTGGGGACCTAGAAATGATTAGCTTCGGACCCCCTAAATAATCATCATCCGCCCCTAATTTTCTATGCGAAATAATCAGCATTTTATTGCTATCATTCTAATTGACAAAGCTTCACCAGTCTCCGACTATATATAGACAAAAAGCGTGATCCCATTATGAACAAGCTGTGAGGGGTCGAAGTCGCTTCTTTCAATCTTCGGTTACTCGCATCGAAAATTTAACAAACAATTTTTTAATCTTCTTTTCTTATTGTATATAATGTGAAGTTTATTAAAAATCAAATGTTATTATCTATCTGCAAGGTAACAATTGAATTAAATTTTTAATTGCAACTATCATTGTCTATATTGGCGTTATTATGTATCATTAACAATTATGTATTATTAATTCAGCTCAGATAATTAATTTGTGCAGGTAATTTCATACTATATACATATTCTCTAATTTAGATTCAATTTCTCGAAAATTGTGAAGTTTCCAGAGAAAGTAATTTCACCATTTCATCATAAAATATACTATACGAATAACCGAAAGTGAAAATCGTTTCCGATGTTCACGTCCGTTTGATGCGAATTTTTCGCTTCACGTCGGACGAAACTACTGGAACGAAAGTGATCGGAAGTTTCGACATGGTGCGTCTTTACACACATGAGGAATAAATAATATAAATTTCTGGTATTTCTAGATTACACCTTTCTCATCCAATTAGCAAAAGTAGTTATTAGTCCAATTCAAAACAATTCGTCCTTCACTTTCGCTCCACTTTCGCGTCACCCCTCCCTCCGTTCTCACATAAATCTTCACGATGTTTTGAGAAACACTGATCCAACGATGGCCCCCACCGGCTAAACACCGTGATGTTAAACTCTTAATATTGCACAACATCGATAACACCTCGAGCTTCGAAAAGGATTTCGTTTTTATTTCACAGCGATTATAGTATCGGTGAAATTTGCATGCGGACCTTTTTTTTCCACGTTTCACGACTTGTCTTCCGTTTACTACTTGTCGCCTGTCTCAAGTAAGGACTTAACTGGCGACGGTGATAGCAGCAAGTGATAACATCGGTGGTATGTTAATCGGTATAGCGATCATAAACTTTAGTTATGTTAATCATGACGTGCCTTCGTTATCGGCATATCGCTCTGCGGGACAAAGAACATTCTCCGATTTGATTGTATTTCTACTACAGCTATGTAACTTTAATATATATATCATAGGTATTCTAATTTTCAACGGAATATAAGAGATTATCACTATATAAGCCATCTGTCTTCCTTTACATCGCGCTACACTACGTACGAAAATTCTATAACTTTCTTAAAAATTCTTTAGCTCTATGCTCTATCTAGAGAATCTTATATTACCGCTCGAAAAGTAATTTGATGAACGGCATAAATTAACTTGGAAAAGTTGAAAGTTACGAAACCATATTATCCTATGTGTCTTTTGCATATCTGCCTTATCCTATTAACAGCACACTCAATTCGGAAAATGTCCCGAGTCTGAAATCGATTTAATAGAATCCCGTTCTGAATTCAATGTATATGTAATCAAGAACATTTTTGCCAGTGCGGCGATTACAATGATATAATAATGACAATAAAATATATGAACAATGATAATGAATACATAACGCGGTCGGATTTCGCCGTCGCCTTTACCGACAATATGTATACGTGTAAGTAATATACTCTAGTGTCATTACATTATGCTTAGCAAATATCTCGCTCGAAGATTTACCTAAAATCCACGTGGCAACAAATAACCAAGTTCCTTAATTACTTTCATTGTTCTGGCGGTTGAACTCTCATACAAAGTCAAAAAGAGGAAAAAGGAAACCTGATTTCTGGATGCTGCGAAAGAATAATCGTTGCCGGTCGTTCGCGTAAAATATTTATGTTACTTAATGTATAAACATTCTGGATTAATCAGGAAGTCTGTTACTCATCATTCTCGTTTTACTCTTGCGCTACTATATCAAAAATTAATAATTAATTAAAACTATTGGTCTCTAGCCGTTTTCCAAACGTATCTAAAGCATACAAACGATATTTACATTCTGGATAATTAATTAAACATTTCTTTAAAATGCGAATTGTGTAAAGAATATCGGAAAAGTTTCGGATATGCTCAAAATTCGATTTAAACAAATTTTTTAATTATAAATATAACAATTAAAAATTATATTACTTTTCATCATTACATATAGTTTTAAAATAGCATTGATGTTTCTGGCACAGAAGTAATCCTTTTTCTTTTTCCAAAAACCGCCACAGTTAAATTCAATAACTATCAAGTATCTTTTTGCGCGACTAAAAATAAATCTGAAACAGCAGTATAGTCACGCCAATACAAAAGGTAGTTGTGATTGAACAACGTTCTCAATAAAACTGATTTTCTATTATAAGTTTTGTTCCAGTATCAACATCGATCCGAAAGTTTTCTGACAACGGAATTAGATCGTCACTGTCAAACACAATCAATGCCAGCAATATCTATAACAATCACAGATAATGACTTCGTGGAAGAGATTTGCCGCCATTTCGAGGTTCGCTTAAAGTAAATCCTAACTTCTAGCTAGTGTCGTCTAGCAATTAATATAAAAAAAGAAGAAAAACGAAGAAAACGAAGAATGAATGACAAACAGTCGAAAAAACGGTCAGTCGACTGAGGAATGGAAACACGAATTGCAATAACATTATTATTATATGAGTACATTACACGAGTAACGAGTTTGCTGCGCCGCGCGGACCAACGCCAAAACACGTGCCGCGGTTTGAATGATCAAACTCTCGCAAAGAAAGCCGTGCGCTTAATTAACATGATAAATGAGAGTCATAAAGAAACTTACGCGATTTAGCCGATTTGGCCGAGAATCCTTTGCGAAAGGAGAACGAGCGAATAGAACGAAGTAAGATTGCTCCAGCCGAATTAAAATTCGCTCTTAACAATAATTATAATAAATTTACGCTCTTAACAAATTATAATAAATACGTAACAATTAAAAATGCAACAGTCAAAGAAGGATCTCAAGATCATTTAATAATGTCTTTAATATTGGAAGCTAATGACTTCTTTCCTAAATTGAACTAACACTTTATTGAATTATTTAATGCTGATTAGTAATTCCAACTATTCTCGCTTTTATACTATTAATAATTATATTAATGATATTAATATTAATAATACAAATTGATACTAATATTAATATAATATAATATTAAAAGAAGAGATCTAATCAGAATTAATGCTACAATTAAAAGCTTCCACTTACCTTAACGACGAATTCAATCGACTGGAATAATCTCACCCCGTCCGAAATCCACAAGCGATACGTAATATCCGGACAACGTATAGCTTGCAATAGAGCAAACGAGTGCCGAGTTATCGGTTCGTTATCGGAACGACACGACACTTTCGGTGGCAAAATTAATTAAATGCCAGAGGGAACTATCGGAAAATTCGCACTCCGCCATAAATCGATTCACGCTAGGCTCGATTTTCTTCCTTTGTGCACTCGAACTGTATTGAAAATATCCCGAAAGCATCTCGACGAGACGGAAGATAAAATGTAGAAAAGTAGAGATGAGGAGAGAGCCGCCCTTGACAGTGAACTGCTATCGTAGGTACTTTGATGTCTGTATATGCGTGTGTATATATGTGTGTATATGTATGTGTACGTATTAACATAGGTATTTACGTGTTTTGTATCTGTATATATATATGTATAATACGTCTATATGTATCTATGCACGTACTTCCTGGGTATGCATTTGTGTGTATGTGTGCATATCTCTGCGCGCGCGAAGGTCCTTACGTCGATAAAATACACTATAACATTATATATGTACATTAACATGCGTAAGAGAGGTCTATTCTTGGGTCTGCAGGGAAGGGGAGGGGGTCTCTGTGTAGAGGACGGGGAGAAAAGTCTAGAGAAACTCGGGATCGTGTCTTGGACGTAAGCTGGAAATCGCAACGTAAGTGACAATAGATAGATAAAGATAAGTCGTCGAAAGGTCGTCTAGGTTTTAGGCTAGCTGGAGAGCAGAGTAATCCTGTAATGGTAGACGCTAGTGAACGAATACGCTGGGTCTTTGGCTTCGAGATGCGCGGCGTCCTCTTAGGGTAATGGCACTACGACCTGCACGTAGGTCACAGGGAAGTAACCGGTGCGGCCGTCCAGGCTGCCCTCAAACCAATTCTCGTCGATCTTCTGAGTCAAGGTGATCGTGTCGTTCTCCTGCAAAGAAGATGAAATCATTTAGATATAAATGTCGTTAATCGCCTTCAAAAAGATCAAGAATCCATTTTTTCAGTCTTTTGTTACACATAATGGATCGTTCGTGTCTGGATTAATATTTACTTTTACAAATATAAAAATAATTAATTCTTACATATATTTTAACATGTTTAAAAAATATTTACGTAAAATTATGTATTAAAAAAAAAGAAAAGACTAAAAATCATTATTTAACTAAGTACTCCTAGTTTTTTAAAGAAAAGAAATATATAGGATACAAATGACTCATCATGTGTACCTACTAAGAATTAAGATAGTTAAAAAAAAATTATGAAGAGATTCCGTATAATCAAAAGGATTAAAACAAAAAAATGGAATCCGCTTTAAGGATCTTATATATTATGAACTTTGTTCCATTTATAAAATCAATCTAAAAAAAGATTTAAAAAATCGTTTAATAGGGCACCCTTATATAACATACTTGTATGAAGAATACAACATATTTTTTATATAACATTCTTTATACATATTTTAAACTATATTGCTTAAATTCTTGGCGAATAATATCGTAAATTTACCTTAAATCCAAGTTCCCCAGGATTCTCGGGCTCGAAGTCGTACAGAGCTGTGCAGCACGGCGTTCTCTGTGTCATCGGCGTTCTCGCTGGTGATTTGCTCGGCGAGGGCAAAGGTGAAGCTGAAAATAGTCGGCACAAGTGTGCTAAACTACTAAAAACTTCACTAATATGACGTATAAAACACGTCACAGTGTGACTGCATGTCGCATCGCGTATACGTTCACAAACTACACATTTAACAATCTGCCTTGGTAATCGTGAACCATCTTGCACGGAAAAATCGTGTCGCACAAAGCAGCAGTGTGTAATGTCGATTTCTTTCTAAATGCGAAAGTAAAATAATAACGCCGAAAATATTTGAAAATAAAAGTAAGCTTCTGAAATTAATATGTTTACTTGTTGATGGCAACTGTGTGAGCTAACTAAAATTTTTACAGCAAGAAGGAGACAGTTATCTCAATTTCGGTAAAATATTATTGGTAAATCTAAAATATCTTAGAAAAAAATATGATCTTTCAAAAAATTTATTCTACATGAAAAAAATTATCAAATTAAAATATGAAAAAGATTATGTTCTTATTTAAAAAATTGCTGCAACTTTTGGACTAAAATGTAAATCCAAATATATCATATCTACTTTTAATTTACAATTAGTAAGATTTATAAAAATCACTATATTTCCTTTTGCTCAATTTGGATTTCAATCTTCAATTACTTAAAATCTATTCAACACAACCCTCTTCTACAGCATAGAGTGTCAAGACATTATGTAAATAAACGTGCATGGTGATCAGTCATCAGCGTCGTTATACGAGAAAGCGGTAGAAAATCCCATCGAAAGAAAAATGAAAGAGAATTGCGCAGGATCGGTCGCACCAACAGCTTCGATTACTAATCATAATGTGAGATTCGATATCCGTTTTTGGATCATTATCAGATACAGAGAGAAACTTTAGATAATTACGGCGTCCTTAACGGCGCAACAGTTGGTGCAACCGCTCTCGAGAGGTTCGAAAAGGAACTCGTTTGTTTGCCGGACAGAGAGACGAGGAAACCCCCATGCAAAGTTTACCATTGGTAGATTGTGGCGGGTTTCCGGCCGGAAATAGCTCGAGCTGCGAGCGCTTCCCGTCCGCAATCGGAGAGCCGGCCCGACTTGCCCCTACATTGTGTCAGAAGGACAGACAGGTATGCCACATTATACACACAGCACAATCGGAGGAAGAATAGGATGATGTGACAGTGTGACGAGAGTGAGCGTGTGCACGTATTTTGCGCGTAATCGCGGAGATCGATCCTTAAAGAGATTAACGTCCGGGACACGTAATTGATAGATGAAACAATGAACGTTTATTTAGATCCGGGAAGATTTATCTTACGAGAACTAATCGAACATTGTTTCCATTAACTTTTCTCAAGTAAACTTGATTTAAATTTTAATTCTTAAATCCATGTTTTATTTTCCCCAATCTCATTTACTCGTTTTAAAATGTAAACAATCGATAAATGTAAACAAATTTACAAATGTTTTCTTTTTCTTGAATTGCAGCTTGTATTAAGTCAACTGTCCAATTAAAGTTTCCGTCTCGGTTCAAATATTCAATTTATAAAAGATAACGAAAAAATAGTATTTTAATTGCAAAGGAATATTTCAGGAGGTAAAATTCAGTGACTCGTTCAGTTTTGACAAGTGCGAAGTTTGTACACGTGCGCAAAAAAAAAACACAGAATATTAGACACATCTCGCCGAATTTTTTACCGGAAGGCGTTCCATACAGAGAGATAGGAAAATGCAATATATATTAGTCAATGTAGAACGTAAACACCCCCCTGGCATGACAGAAAGAGAATAGAGAAAAAAACAAGAAACAGTTAAACAGCCAGACCACCCGAGTGTCGTCGCGTAGTGTAGTGAAGTATTTGTGAAATGCGTTTTACCGTGAAGAGAGAAGTTCCCACCGTTCATATGGTCCGACGTCGGCAATCCACTATCCACGTGCAGATCCGCCAGTGTCTTCGGCACAAATTCCATCTTTGGTCTATGTACGGCCTCCTCTTTCCTGAAGAGCAAAACATTTATCCGTAGATAACATTATCCGAAGAAATGATTGTTATAGTCATTCAACGCCACACAGACGCAAAAACGGATATCTTTATCTTCTCTCACGTAAAAGATTTATTTATTTATTTATTTAAATAAAAGTAAATAGAACTTCCAAAAAATAAAATATTATAAATTGTGGAATAATATGATATGTGGAATAATAATAATATCTCGTATGAGAATCAGCGTGATACGCAAGTTTATGTTCAATAAAATGTATTTGAAGTTAAGCCCAAGACACACAATGCGAGGGAATAGCGATAGGAATATGATTTCAACCTATCAGAAATCGGATATATCGGAATACCCAGTTTCTGATAGGTTGAAATCGTGTTATTCCTATCGCTATCGCTATTCCCTCGCATTGTGTCTTGGGCTTTACGTTACTTAATAAATCGTTCGTATATTTTGGCTCAACTTGAAACCATTTTTAGCAAAGAAAAAATATATGGTCCTACACTACTCTAAGAAAACTGAGATGAAGTCACTCTTAGAGTTTCAAACCTAAAAGTTGTATTGTTTGGCAATTTCTAGAACAAAACTTTTAGTTCTAAAAATCTATAAGTAACTCTATCTCGTAGTTTGACTGGCACACATATAGCGTGAGGCCATATATTTTTTCTTCACTGAAGATGATTCTAAATTGAACCGAAATATACAAACAATTTATTAGTAATGTAATTTCAAATATATTTTATTGAACACAAACTTGCGCACATCGTATTGCACTGATTTTTATCTTTCAGCTCTTTCACAATTTTTAGTATATTTATTAAAGTAAAATAAATATAGATATATATATATTGTTTTTAAAAATATAAATATTCATTTTTCATACACATTTTTTAAAAACTGTAGAAATGGATTTCGTATCGATACATTCAGCATCGATTTTTCTAACAATTTGGATACAATTAGACATACTTTTCCAAAAGTGTTTCCGTCAATCCCCTGAGGACCTCAGTGCACTGTTGATGATATTCAAGAAGAGCCTCACTGAAAGTTGCCAATTGTGCCACTTGTTCGACCTGCAAAAGAACTTCATAAGAATCTCGATCTGTGCGCATCACGTAACATTTCGAACTAATGACGACAACTCACGTCGTTCGCCAGCAGATTAAACATGCCCATCTGTGCCAAATGGAGACTCTCTTCGAACTTCTCTTCAGCTTGACGAATCTCGTCGTCTGAAACGTGAGAACCTGTTCGCAAACGGTTGCCCCGCCAACGAAATTAAAAAGGTTGCACTACTGGGTTGCTTCATTTCCTAAATCTAAACACTTACAGTATAACGAGTACAAGAAAGCGCAATTCGTTCTACGAGCGCGCAAGTGTATTTCTGACGTCACAAAGAAGCGTGTTTAAGTGTCGTAACTTTAATAAAATTATCTTTTCTAATCATTTCTGAAACTAGCAACAACGCATAAAGCGGCACAATTTAATTAAGTTTAAATTTTGTTTAAAAATATCTAATAAAAATATATTTAATAGAAATATCTTAAGAAGTTTTTAGAGGATATTTAAAAACACATCTTTCAAGAATATTTGTGTGAAAAATCTAAAAATGTTTCAATTTTCGATTTTACGCAAGTTCAGGATAGTTTTTAATTCTTTTTATTTGGAAACTTTTCGTGAAATTTATGGACAATGGAAGTACAACATGTAATTTCAAAATTACAAGCTTCTAGGCACACAATGGAAGTCATACCAGTATATGGCGACGAGATGCCCAATCGCGCAGGACTTCCAAAATGCGGACTGACGGATCTTTTTCCAGTTGCTAATAATTAAGCGGTTGCCCAATGAAAAACAGACAGAGCACACCGATTATCAGCAAAAAGCGAAAAGCAAATTCATTCGGAGCAAATAACACAAAAGAAAAACGCGGCGGCGGAAAACTTATCGAGTATTAACAAGTTCGAAAAGCATAAAAGTGAGACGTATAAAACTCACAAAAATTATTATCGAACGCAAAATTCTGCCAGAGATAATAAAAAATGTTAATACTAATTTATTTCAAGTTATACACATATCGGTCCATATTTTTTATTTATTAAAGTATTTATTAAATCCAGGTATCTATTAATTATTCTGAACAAATTAAAAATTCAAAGCAATTTGCGAGTATTAGCCCAAGTTCTTTAAATTTTAACAGAATAATTTTATAGAATTCAATAGAATTAAATTTTAACTTGGATATAACAGTTGTTATTGTATTATGTGTTATTTTTATCAAATATATTATATAATTAATATAGTAAATTAATATAGTATGTCATTAAGTTATTTATAATAGTTTAAAAATATTGCGCATATTTATGTAAACGGTAGGAATACACGAAGAATTCCCTTGTCAAAATACTGTACATTTTTGCATCTTTAGTAATGGCTGCAATGCAGTAAGCGAGCTAATCATCACAGAGTAAAATAATTTCTTTATATAAAACGCACATTAAAGAAAAGTATTCTTCTCACGTCCTACTTTTGAGTCCACATTACAGTACTGATTTGTGATTCTATTCGATCGTGCTCATGCAACGCAGCATGCGAGTAAAAGATCTTCTTTCTATTGCAAAAAAATTGTACCATTTGCATCTACTCATGCAACGGTTTTATTGATAATCCTATTCTGAGGGAATGAATCATGTACGAAACATAATTCTATTTTCCCACACACATGCTGACAATGGAAAATAAAGCTGTTTTCGTAAAGAGCTTAAAAATTCATAGACGTGTCATTACGTTGAAAAATCAAAATGGAAATTGTCTAAAAATTTTGAAAGCATAAAACCGATATAATCGCCAAAGCGGATCGTTTGTCAGCATAATAATAAACAATACTGAAATTGAAAGCAAAAATAACAAAATATCAGACAAGATTAAAATTACACAGTACAAGAGATATAAAAAGATATACAATATGACTCACAAAGATGAGAAAAAAACTCCAAAAACTTCTAAACTTTTATTTTTATGCATATTTTTTTTAAGTACATAGTTCCTAGAAAAAAGAATTACAAATATAAAAAGCGTCGTTGCTCAAAAGTGACATTTCTGCGACTGCTAGCCTTTTATTCCATAAAGTGACGCATTATTTTCTCTAAGTTTTTCAAAAATGATGATTTTGTAACTACAAGTTTTTCTCCATCGGAAGAAAATAATTTCCGTCTCGGTCACAGCACTTTTATCTCTTTAATAGTGACAATTTTCACAATTGTGACCTTTCGCCATTAGAGCTCGGTAACATCGCCTTTCGCGTTTTCTTTTACGACACCGCCGTTTCGCGAAAATCATGCGGTTTTAGCTTCGCTCTCCGCGTCGGAAACGCAATCGCCCAGTCTCATTACTAGCATTATAGCTCCATCGCGGTTTTTATTTCAACTCTTCGAATCACGGGCATCGCAACGACGACGTGTTCGTGCAAGGACACTCTCGACGACGGCTCGCTCGCGCACGGCTGAATAAATCAATAGGAGTACGGAAACGCGAGAGGACGAGAAGCGAGGGCAACATGCGAGGAACCTCAACGTACCTTTTGCCTGGCGTCTTCGCTTGCAATCAAAGTCCAGTCTACGGCCTTGCAGTTTCTTCCGATGGTGCTGAAATCAACAAATCAGAGGAGATCGAACGCGTGAAGATTGTGAAGAAACAGCGCCCAGTCGAGCGCGACTATACACAACTTTTCCAATAATCATACCATCACTTCTTTGAGATCTTTGAGCTGCAGATGGTGCAGTGGCTCGAGGAAGTTTTGCTTGATGTTATCGTCCAAAGAATACTTCACGTCTGCCATCTGCTTCATGGCTTCGCCCATTTCAATGAGAGCCTGGGCTGCAAGGATTGATAAAAATGAGGCGATAGAAAATAAGGTGAGATAATACGACCTATCGATCCTCGATATTTTTTGCTTTTTTTAATCGTAAGAATAAACTTCGACACGAAAACACCTAATTCATGTAAAGCAATTTTTTTCAATTATCTGAAACAAAATTACCAGATGATATCTTATCTCTTGACAAAAATTGTTGCGTAAAAGAGAATAATTTCATGAAAAAGGAAATAAAACCTATGAATAATATATGGAATAAAATCTCAATTTTAATACGAGTAAAAGTAATAATAATAATCATATCGCAAAAATAATTTTAAAAGACAATTCCTATTCCGAAGAACATTTTTTAGATAAAGAAGTGAGGATCGAATTTGTCAGGAACAACGCAATCGTTGTATTTAAATTGCATGTACCAAAAATACTGTCTTCGCCCATTTTCTTGCCATAAGTGAGCATGCAATCGCCAAGTACACCTTCCGGCTGAGGATAAGTGGACGCCTTTGCCTGACCGCTGAGCTTGCTTATACCTTTGACTGCAGCCATCTTCGCTCTTGCTGTCGGGTTTGGTTGAAGGAACTCCTTCGTCTTCATCTGTAGCTCCTCCACAAGCTCGTACGTGACGTCTGTTTTCTATAGATACATGACGTGTTTATGTGAACCCTTCGTCTCTTGTCAATTTATTTCGACGAGAACGTGAAGAATTTCTTTATAAAGCTTTGAAATTTTATTCGCGGTATATACTTATCGATCCTTGATATTTCTATAAGTAAACATATAATAAAATGGTTTATTTGAAAAGTTATTTTCAAAATAATGTCTCTGTGAGATTTAATAATAAATTTTTAGCGCATAAATTTCGAAAATATTAACTTATTTTGAAAGATTTGTGTTATACATTCCATCTTATGTCTAAACTGCTATTTTTAAAATCAGTTTGAATAATATAAGAATGTACACAAAGAATAGTAATCAAAGAATTTAAAAGCCATTGCAAAGAAGGAATTTGCAAAATTTAGAGTTCTTGATAAAAAATTGTATCACGTCATATCTACGTTATGTTAAAGTTAAAGTATTCAAGAAAGAAGCCAACAGTAAGAAGTTTTTTCAGAACTTCGTTTTATAACACAGTCAATCTCGCAACTTCTAGCTTCAAATAGAAGCGCCATAAAAGTACTTCTAAAAGATTGATAAGATCCTCAGGAGCAAAAAAAGACTGGGGAAAATCTTTGAAATTCAGTAATAATATCAGTAGATAAAACACGCTAGTCATCTCTTTCCTGACGTCCTCACAAAGGTACCGTGCGAAAATGTGAAAGACGCTCCTTTTCACATTTGAGACGTACGAAAATACACTACTCACCCTCTCCATATCCACGAAATCGACATCGAGCTTCGTTCCCTCCGCTCCGCCCATTTTCTCTGTCATGTACTGCAAGAAAAATCCGTTATCCTTAGCCTAAAATCTACATCTGAATGAATAACCTTTACCGATTTTACTCTTAATCCTACCTGACAGGATGCGAAAAAATAATACATTTGTCAAAACATGAATCGGTTTAATTTGACAAAAATTTCTCGAGACTCCTTTATTTAAATATTTAAATACGAATATCTTTGACATTTTCTCGATCTGTTATTTTAAAGAGTATCTCGTAATTATAATAAATATAATAATTTATGTAGATAATAATAATAACAGGTTCGAAATTTAATCGTTTATTGCCTGAATTGCTACAGTCATAAAAATAAACATTATATTGTCAAATAAAAATGTAGAGGCTTTATCTAAATATATTAGAACTTTGGAAAAAAAATATAAATCGAAAATAAATGCATAAATATATAGTTTAAAAACTGAAAATTCGATAATTCAAAAATGAAAAATGTAAAAATCATAAAAACGTCAAATTTTTAAAATGAAAAGAATCAGAAGATTGATATGTATTTCACGTTTAGCAGCCTTCATCAATTTAAGCCATCTCAGGCGAACATATTTAACGTTATCCCACGAATGAGATCGTTCCAGAAAATGTTTCTTATTGGACTACATATAAACTACATTACTAATACGATATAATATTTTCACGGACACATAAATATATTGGACGAAGTCAGCTAATCGCTCGTAAATCGGGATTGTCCTGAAAAGCGGCAAGAGATTTTCTCGTACAAACGAGATATTTACCAGGAACGAAGTCAGGAGCGATGAAAAGTCTCGCGGAAAACATACAAAGAGGAGGTTCTGTTAGTAGCAGAGAAAATATCACCAAAGGAAATAATTGTTTCCTGGACCAATATCGGCAAAAATATCTGTCGATCTGCCCCAATATACGAAACAGCGTCTTGTCTTTGCCAATGGTGAAAAAAAGAGTACGCATTCTGCCAAAGCTCGCGAAAATAGGTCAAATATCTTGGCATGCGAAAACTCACAAGCACTGTAATTTCTGTTAAATAAATTTCAAGTTTTCCCTTGGAGATTACTCCGAAACTTCGATGAGTTTCATCATTTGTATTATATTGGATTAACTAGTGAGGCGTGGTGAAATTACATATTATCGGATTTAAAACAGGAATATTATAAACCTTGCAAAAATCTTCCCAATATTTTACCAATAAATAAATTTTAATATCTAATTTTAATATTTAATATAAATAAAATTTAAACAATTATCATTATCGAAATTTGCCAATCATCTGCGTAAAATTAAATTTTTCATGCGAAACTTCAATTTTATATTATCTAAAAAATTATAATAAATTATAATAAATTACCTAAAAAATATAGTATCTCATAATGAATTGTATATGATGTATGTACAAAAAAGCTTACTAAAATAAAATAATTCGATGCAACACTGCAAAATTTAAAGTTAAATTGCACAGACAAGATCAACATTAATTAACATTAGGTTAACGATCTCCTTCCTCTTCTTATTTCTCTCTTTCTCTACTGCTTTTTCTACTTTAAAATTTCCGTAACACAAACAATGAAAGAAAGTTACAATGAAGTTAACTCTATCGATATTCTCCTCTAAACTCTTTAAAAGTCCTTCTAAGTGCATTTTACGCGTTTAACTCGATTTTGTTCATATAAATTCAAATATTTATCCGAATATCGGAAACAACTAGAATTGTCGATAATCGCAAGAATATCCGAATTCATATTCTATTTTAAAAAATCGACTTCTTTATGTATATAAATAAATATAATACCGATTTATTTTTTCCTGTGCAATTAATTATATATGAAAAGAGAGTGAAGGACACGGAATAATATCATATGTTTAATGGCGTTAAGCGGCGAGCTTTGCAAAAGGGATTACTCGCAGAAGAAGAAGAGAGAAAAGAGGGATGGAGAGAGAGAGAGAGAGAGAGAGAGAGAGACCCTGACCCATTTAATAATGACCTATTTCCAGAGATGCGCACAGAAATGTAATCGTCACTCGTACGCAGCAAACGCTATCCTGGAGTAAATTTGACCTACATCACGTCACTTGCAATGTCGCACGCTTTACACCGAGCGTTCCGTCTCCGGCGATTTAGATCGCGTGTGTAATATATTATGATGGATGTCTCCATAAACGGAATAAGATCACTCTGATGTACAAATACGGAAATCATATAAAATTTAAAAATTTTCTATGACAAAAAAAAACTTTAAATTCAAGTTTTTTAGGAAAAAAATTGTCTCTCACTGAATTTATATTGTAAAACAAATATATTGTAATAATAACGTAGCGAAAAGTTTGCCAAAATTGTTTTATCATACTTGTTAGAGATTTAATTATATACAAACTTGTATCTCTATTAAAAAAAGTAAAGTTCATAATAGCCCATAATTATATTAATATTGCAAAATAATGTAAATAATAAATAGAGAATGATCCACATAGGTAGTCCTCTGATCTTCATATTTAGGTATCTAAAAAAAAAAGAAATAAAACTCCAGGACCTATTAAGATTTTACAAATTATTTTCCACCTTCTGTCAAAATCGACTCTATTTGAAACCGGTTTCCTAAATCCTTCCATAATAACGAATGATATAAAAATATAATTGGAAAAGTGTCAATCGATGAGATTGAAGCTCCGAACGAGCGATATTTATATCCGATTCATAATTCTTGCAACGAACGGAACTTAAAACTCGATCGGCTTTGAGTAAGATCTAAATTTTAACGCCACTGTGGTTCAGCCACGGTGTATATCGCAAAACTCTTGACATACATTCGGCGCGGACTTGCGTCGCTCTTTCGGCTTTAAAGCGCCTTTAAAATAAGAGATCCATGGTATAGATTCGATAAGGGTCCCGATCTAAACAAAAATTAATTGCTTCACTCAACGGGCACATTCGTGCTCGTACGAGACCTTTGGAGACTCGAATTAAAGCGACAACTAGATTAACCGGTATACGGGCGAATTTCACAGACGTGTTCGTTTGGACGACATTGAATCGAGATTAGAGTTGTACATTCACGAACTGTATCCCTGAGGTAAAAAAACAAAAGCACGAGTTAAAAAATCTAACCTTTAAAAAAGGGCAACAAGATACTCCAGTATTTACTATTTGTCAGAATAGTATCAATTTTATTTATGTTAAATGCCAAGCGTTAAATGTTAACAGAATCTTATATAGCGATATTATTCACTCTGTATCAATCTCGTATTATTTTTATATAATATTGGTAAAAAGATATTGTTTATGAAATCAATCGACGTAATATCAATTATAAACTGTTTCTATATATCATATCCTATCTGTTATGTTATAATTTACAATTTTTATATTTTGTTACAATACGTGTTTGTGTTACAATATATTTATTCACGATGTTACATGATAGCAATTGTTATTTCAACTACAAATAATATTATCTATGGAGGCGTTTTTACAAATAATTTTTACATTTAGTTTATAAATAAAAATCTTTCTTTTTCCGTATCTCTTTTAATTTTTGAAATCCCAGTTCTCCGTTTTTATAAATACTTTATATAAAGCTGAATTATGCACTTATTAAAAGTTAATTGTGTTGTATCAAAGTAAAATTAATACGTTGCTAGCTTTTTAGTAAATTACATAATCATCAACTGGCCGAACACGTGTAGGTCTTATTACCGAGGACGATGTTTAAATATCTCGTCTATGCGCATACGGGTTCGAATTGAATTTCAGGCAAGCACGAGGAAAAGCGATGCACATAACTTTCAAAAGGTCGATCGGTTCGTAACATCATCGGCGAGTTCACGACATCGGGAAAGCATGTGTGTAAAAGTGTCGTAAAAATATCCGTTCGCCATCGTCCTAACATCGATAACGACGAACAGGACATCCGCGATATTGTGGGTTCTATCTAGCGGCGACATAACACGGCGACATCACAACGGCGACGGTGCACTTAGAGCCCCACACACCGGCCACGTACATATAGGTATCGTGGCAAATGCAATTAGGACACAGAAAGTGAAGTAAGCACGCGTGTGTGTACATAACGCGCGTGCGTGCGTGAGTGCGTGCGTGCGTGCGTTCGATTCCGGGTTTTCTGCGCGGTGAGATAGACATGCAATTTTCACCGCGACGCAATATAGTGAATATATATACGCGTTATTTGCATGCGCACTAACGCTGAACTATCGCTTTATATACGAAAATAGATGTAGATATGTACAAGGATAGTCGGAAACGCTTTTAATAAATCGTAATAAGCCAATCAGTGTTCACAAATAAAATACCGTAGTATTTATATATCGAGATATATAAATATTTAAATATAATTATAAATAAAAATATATAGATATTTTCGAATTTATCTATGTTTTCTTCCTACGTCTTTCTCTCTTCCTTTCTCTTTTAATTTTTGAAATCTTTCTGACTTCGATAAATACATTTATTAAAGCTGAATTATTTACTTATCGAACGTTATGTTGTACCAAACAAAATTAATATGTTAATCAATACTTTAATTATTAAATGAAAAGTCAAGCCAATTTTTAAAAAAATTTCTAGATTAATGCGTGCATTAAACCATAAATACAATGAAATAAAGTTAAAAAGAATATATTATAATATGATCTAACGCAAAATGATAAAAAATTTAATAGCGTAAAATTTTTATTAAAGGAAAAATTTTGATTACTATCTTATGTTTTAAAATATAATATGAAATTTCTTATAATATGTTGCTGTAAAAATATTTGAAATGCGAATCTCGTACTGGAGCACCGATCGATGCTTTTCGTTTATTATAAATATTTGAAGGTTGTGTGCATAATTAAGAACGCAAAGGTCAAAAGCTGCGGCTGCCATCATCGCGCATCACCGAAGATTTCGGTGGCTGCGCATCGCCGAGAACTTATCCTATATAGTTTAAAATCGCTCATTACACAATAGCCACGAGCATCCGTGCGCAATAATTCGCATTGTTTCGCACTCCGCTCGCGCACTTTTCGCTCGACCGAACTCTCGTCGCTTCGCATCTTACCGCTTCGACAACATGGATTTTCGTTTGGCATTTGCGATGGACTTTGCAGTGCAGTAATTAAGGCCAAGATAACATCCCGCCAACGCGTATCGTGCTGGCAGGACATCCCTTGGGAACCGTATTAAAACTTGCGAGTTTTTCTTAGCTCAACTCTTTTTCAGCAAAAACATAACGCTTAATTCTCTTTAACAATGTTCTCTGATCAAATTTATAAAATATAAATATAAATATAAAATATAAATAATAATGGCAACAGCTATATAATAGAAAATTAAAGAGAAGTCAATCTCTCAAGTATAAAGACGATATCTAAAATTAAGTACAATGAAACACAGAGAATAAATATAATAAGATAACTTTTGATTTAATTCTTTTTAATTAAAAAAATAATACAGAAATAATATAAAAATGATAGAATCAAGTACACATAGATAATGAAATAATAACTGGTTTAATTCTTTTGTGGATTATATTTTCCTAAAGCACAACACTAATTGCAGAAATGCGGTAATTATTAAGAATCGATAACTTTTATCGATATTTCCCCTCGGAACAAAATGACGCGTTTGCATAATCACGAGTAGTACTTTACCGTGTACCTATGAGCAGCGCATGGGAATAATTGCAGTAATTTTCATTATTGCGTCGACAATGTACACGACAGAAATGCTATATAAGCATGCAGAATTTCGCACGCCATGTAAGCGCGTGCATCGCGTCCCGTTTAACGCGGAGCATACAGCCTGGCATCGTCAACGTTAAGAATTTCATAATCAAGTCTTCCACGGTATTTAGAGCATAAGTTACGCATGACGCATGTCCAATGAGATTTCCGACATTTCCATTCGTATGGATTTTCACAGTGAAAAACAAATAACTACGAAATTAACTGAAAGATACAAACACAAAGATCATGCGGGTCCACAATAAGCATGTTGCGTAATTAACGTGATATAATTTCAAGATAAAGATTTGTATACATTACTATTTATAGAAATTATTATTTATATAAGTTATTTTTGTATAATTATTATTTATATAAATTAGTGTTTATAGAAATTAATATTAATGTTCATTTATTTGAAAAATGTACGCTTAGCACGCTTAGTAACAGTATTATATACTGTTTTTTACATTTATGTTTTATTCAAGTAAAAACAAGTGGGACGTCGATATTTGCGAATATCCATAATTTACTATTTACATACATAATTTACTATTACGTTACATCTTTAAACTAATACCTAAAACTTTGTAAATACCTATTCCTGCTTTTATATGAGATTCTTTATACTCTTAATACTCGTAATTTGGAAAATCACTCAATATCACTACGATCTCATTTCATTAACGTAAACAACTCTTATTGATTTATTAAGCATATTTCTTTCAACAATTAACCGTCAATTCGCCACAGTCTCGCTGTGAATAAACTTTAGTATTGAGAGCAGCAGCAACCATGCTTCTCCGCTCGTCATTTTAAGATTAAACATGACAGCGTGATAATGCCGCGACTGCAGTTGATACGAAAATTCTCCGCATATAGCATGCTGGACCAAATGATAACTCGCATCAACCGATTGTAAAGAGCTTAGTTCTCTCAAAAATATTTTACTAAATGAATCTCAATATTTCAAAACGCATTATTTTTCGCATTTCAATTTTTTCGCATTTGCGGAGAACCGATCGCATTCGAAAAAAGTATATTTGCCTGTTAATGTAAAATATGTACTTCGACATAGAAAAATCAATTTTGCTGAAATATCTAAAAATTTAGCTAGATATATATCTGAAAATAATTATGTTTGGATCAAAATAATTACGTAAACCGCTCAAACGGTTCTAAAATATTAAAATTTTTTGCAGCATTGTCATCAATAATTAAGCGTTCATAATGATTTTGATAATCCAAAATTATTTTCAGATCTGTGTATCTAGCTAAATTTTTTTTATATTTCAGCAAAATTGTTCTTTTCGTGTATTGCAATAATTCTCTGAGATTCTCTTTCTCTCTTTCTCTTTCTTTTGTGTTTTCATTCCGGGCTCTTAGATTTCAACCCTCGAATTCTGAGAGTCTCGCGGATCGCGCGAGATTCTCCAATAATAAAATTCCCATACGTACATCGGACATTCTCGAGGAATGCCAGAGATATCGATTTCAACATAAAAATAGTTCAAGCAAAGATATAATAACATTTTGATGCACAGATATAATATTTACGTAGTAATAATTAACCCGCGTTTCAAGTCTCGAGTTTCGGAACGCATCGGGCATGTTTGCTTGCTTATCCGATTGTATTAACTGTTACGGAGTACATTGTGGTGATACCGAGAATCTGGCTGACATGAGTTACGCGAACACGAGTTTCCCCACGACGTGTAATCGCATTAAAACACCTCGCGTAACGCAGGGACGAACCGCACTGATAATTATAAAAGTTCGCGACACCTAAGTAGCAATACATCGCCGGTAATTGGCGTAATGTAGCTCGATATACGAGCGTCGTCGTAGTGTAGCCCGATATACGAACGTGGACGATTAAACTTTCAACAGTGCTCCACATAATGAATACGTCGTATCGGCGAATCGTGCGCGCTACACCAAATCGTTAACGCGATACTCCCTTTAACGCTCTTTGTAAGTACTAATCGATAGCGTAACAAACGCGTAAAACGTCTCGTCATCTAATCAAATGAGAACAGCTAATTAGAATAACCAGAGCTCAAGATACAATTTCGCGATGGATGAATTGAATTTCAATTGTGCAAATTAATATAAGTACTACAAATATAGACGTCCATTAAAATACTGAAAAAAAAACTAAATTTTAATAAGTATTCGTTTGAATAGTTCCGAGTAAATATTTACTAAATGTAAATACATATTTATTTGAAACAAAAACCATTAATTTAACTATCATTTTGTTTATTGAGTAAATGTCTACTTTTAGTTCTATTCAAATGAACATTTACTCAATAAAAAAATGATAGTTAAATCAAATTAATGGTTTTTATAGCTATCAAATAAATATGTATTTACATTTAGTAAATATTACATTTAGTAAATGAATATTTACTGTGTTTTCTTAGATCTATTCAAAGAAATATGTATTAAGATTTAGTAAATATTTTTTCAATGAAGAAATTGACGAATTCTTTGATAAATAGAAGAAATACGTGAGATGATTCTTCGAATAATAATTCCTGTCAGCACTGCGTATTGATTTATTATTATTCAATATCAGAAAAAAAAATTCAATACGTCAAAAGTTATTTCGAGTACTTTGCTTTCAAAGCTTAACTTTCCTTTGTAGACTAGTTATTCTACGGAAAAGATATTATTGATCCCATGCAGCGAGAAGATCCATTGTCAAGTTGCCGAGGAATAAGACGCTTCCATGACGAACGTTTACCTGATTCGCTTTGTTGATTTGCTTCTTGAGCCCGGCGAACGCCATGATGCTGTCGTGTCGTTGCTTCCTGAATCACACGTAAATCGTCCCGACCTGTAACAAAACGGAAACGAGACTGTCAGACAGGTTGCACGTGCGAATTCAACGAGAAAGAGAAACTCATATAGAGAAGAAGGATCGAGAAAGAGAGAGAAAGAGCGAACATTGGAAAAATAGGACGAAAGTTTTGAATTTATGGTCGCTGGCTGCTCGCCAAGGCGAATGGGATGATTTTGAATGCTATCGATCGACCGTATGTCGTGTTTTCCAGCATCATGACTCGTCGTTGATGTAACCCAATTGCCTCGTGTATAGTTTAGCAATACAGGTGTCGGGCGGAGGCAACGCCGATGGCCGCGAGTAAATAAGTCTCCTGGGTCTCGTGGTGATCTCACACGCGTGAAATCTTAAGTCGCAACGTGCCGCCGACCCGACCTCTTAACAGGCTCTAATGAGAGTAAATAATGCGTGCTCTTATTAACGACGGACGGCCCGCATCGATAGATCCCTCACGAGCGACTCCCAAGGCCTTTAGTACACGAAATGATTTTGCTAAAATATCTAACAATTTAGCTATATATAGCTACAGATCTGAAATAATTTTGTTGGACTATCAAAATAATTAAAATGCTTAAACATGATGAGCGAACAATTTTGACATTTTAGCAACCATTTTGAGCGTCCTACATAATTATTTTGACGGTCCAATAAAATTATTTTCAGATCTATAGGTAGTTAAATTTTTAGATATTTTCAGCAAAACACTGTTCTTTCTGTATATGACGAGAAATAAAATAACGTCATCAAATTCATGCATATAACTAAAAAATCTATAACCTCCTAGTGAAGATAAGCGATCTATAACTATTCAATAAAAAACGACTTTTTCTCGAACTATTGTTATTTTTATGATTTTTTAAATACCGATTATGAATCCGTTTTTGCGCCATCACATCACAATTTTGAGAAATTTACAATTAAAGATGGGTTTCGTGTATTACGGCATAAATACAATATCTAACATGCTGAAGAAGTTTTATTGCGATCAAAATTAACCTTTAATTAGTCGCGTGAAGTCGCCGTGACCCCAAGTCATTTTATTTCACGACGTGAGTATTTTCGCGCAACTAACTAAAGGTTAAGTATGTTATTAGAACTTTCAGTTCTCAAAAGGATTTTTTAGTATCAACTGTGATTAATAATGTATTCATAGTTAAATATGGAATCGTATATTGCGGAAAGTTATGAATTAGATCATTGACAATTTACCAAATAGCTTTTAATTATATTTACTTAAAGAAAGTTTTTTTCTAGAGAGTTTTTTAAGTCACTAAATATGACTCCAATATCAAAATTGATGAATTTAAAACGGTAGATTCAATACAGTGGTAAAACTTGAAAAATAGCCGAATTGTTGCAAAAATTTATGTTTAAAGGTCTCCCATAATTTTTAATTTATCAATTTTGACATCGGATTTATATTCGATAGCCTAAAAAAACTCTTAAGTTTAAATAAACACAATTCGAAGCTATTAAATTGTTAATAGCTTAATTTATGTAACTCTTCCGCAATTTCCTGTATTTAACCATGAATATTTTATTGATCATAATAGCCGACACTAAAAATTTCTTTTGAAAACTAAGTTTCCTAACAACATATTTAATTTTGATTGCAATAAAATTTCTCCGACACGTCATATATCGTAATTAAAATGTGACAAAATATGTAAAAATAATCCTTTTTGCAATTTTAACTGCAAATTTCTCAAAATTGTAACGTGATGAAGCAACTTAGAAAACAGATTCGCGTATTCAGCGTCCAAGAAACTATAGTTATGGTTTGATGTTTTTGTTTTCTTATCGAAACTTCTTATCTATATCAATGTAATTTATTTAAATCCATTGAGTGCAGTCATAGAATTATTTTATCATTTTATATAACCCGATCAATGAACATATATCTATATTGGGTATCTTGTTAGAGCAAGTAAAGCGTACTTATTAATGCAACTGCGTATATCAATTTCTCAGAAAGACGTACAGAAATGTCGCAATATAAATAAAATGTATGCATTTTTTAAATTTATGACTAATAAATCTATGGGATGATTTAACAATAGCGAGTTATTGCGTCCTCTTAATAAAAGCAATATTGCAAGTCGATAAATTCATGTATATGAAGATCTAGTACAATACAGAAATTTTATTCGCAAAATCTAACGAATAAATCTATTAAAGGAAATTTGCTTTATGGTATTTGATTAATGGTACGTGACATATTCCTCGTTGATGGCTCTTTTGTGCAAATTCTGCATATCAAAATAGACTTTTATAATAAAAACATAATGGAAAAGTTCTACTAACGAGATGTCTATAAATTCACGGCAGGTTTCAATGAGAGCAAATTGTCCATAAATAAATTCCTCGCGCAACATTCCTCATACTGAGCTAAAAATTCAGTCTAATGACATATATAAATCTTATATAAATGTGAAATGTTTAAATGCTAAATCTGGAGCAGTCAAACGCGAATGACGATAATGTGTACCGCGAATGATCGACAATTCCCAACATGATTCTCTTGTAAAAAGTCTGAATAAATCCTTAGAGTGTGAATTTCACAAGAAAGTACACCTATCGAGCTAGAGAAGCTCTACAAGCAGGCGCAAAGAGTCTATAATTGACCCGAGTAGTCGGCGATTCCGACGAGCAAAGGTCATCGGAACCTTATACGATTAATTAATCTCACGAAACTAGCCGAAGGCAAGTTAAATTGAAACTCTTCACGTACATATTGCACTCGCAGTAAAAAAATCACCGGCCGATAACTCTTTCTGAGTAATTCTTGTCAATAGCAGAATCGAGGTTTCCGTTAACGTGCCGCCGACGGATTCCCTGAAGTGAATAAACGCTCTATTAATGAGAAGAGTCGTCTGTACGGCGAACTTTTAGAATGGCACGCATTGACCGCAACATACCGTCGAAACACTCTCTTAATAAATGTATTAATAAATGCAATTTTTTTATTAATAGATCAGCATAGGGAGATTAAATCCGTAATGAGGATTTTATTAAAGATATGAAGGTTCGATTGATCAGACCGATATTGCAACTGAAAGTTTCTCGAAGTAGATCAGTGGAGAGAAGGATGCAAGATTTGGTAAGTGGGCGACTGGACGGAAAGATGGAGGATTATACTGACACAGTCCGACAACAACGGTTAATGTCCCAATTTTCTTACGACACAATAATTTAATTACCAATGTGACAGTACCATTAGATATTAAGCGCCGTATTTTCACTCTTAAGTTAAATTCTTGCATCTTAGCAGTAGAATTATACAGTAGTAATAAATAAACGGATGGTAATAAAACATATAATATTGAAAGAATAGAGGGCAGTGCGGTATTGAATAGTAAAACGTAGAGTCATAAAAGATAACAGAATAATCCTATCCGAATAATGAAATTTAAATAGAAATTTTATGTAAGAAAAGAAACGTAAGTGATAAGATTAGCTAAAACTGCAATAAAAACAGGAAACTATAAAGTGTAGCCAGAATAAGTAGAAATGTAACATAAAAGTATAACGTAGATTGTGAGTTGGTGCGCGATATTGGAAAGGATAAGAGTATAATATATTACATATGGCAGGTAGCGTCGATGACAGCATAGAATATAGAGAGCTATAACATAGCTTTACAATATAGATAACTACAGTACAGTGCTATGTCTGGTAAGAATGGAGTATAGCGAGGGACCGACCGATTACAGGTAGATATAGATAGACGAAGACAATCACGTTAGTAGACTTCAACTTGAGACTACAACCCCGTCGCGAATTGTACTCGTCACTGAGCTTGCTATACCCAACAGCGATCTCGTCTCGTGTCATCCATAGTCCGCGAATGGGACGACACGTCGTTCTGGAGGACCCGTGGTACGTCACAGTGCACACGATACCGAATTGCCGATGCGACGATTCTCGTGCCGGGAACGGAAGGAACGACTACGATAACAAAATACAACGCGGTAGCGGTGGATAACTGGTTCACGATGCAAAATGCAAGTTACGACAAGGACGTGTCTCACCTCTGAGCGTTCAGACCTCCGGCGCGCGAACCGGACACCCCCAAATGCTGCACGCCCTAGCGCACACCGATGTGAACGGCGACGTGGACGACGTCGATGGATCACGTCGACGATGAAAGAGACGCGAGTGGCTGCGTGGCCTCTACGTGCGTGAGGAACAGGAGGGATCCGCGTGGGCCCACGAGCACACCGCGAGAGAGCACCCCACTGACTACTCTCGTACGTGATCGGTCTCTCGCACACTGCGAAGTCTCCTGCTAGGGGGTAGTTTTCTGCTGGCCGATCGATACGCGGCTCAGTTTCGCGGTCTCTCTTGCTCGCGTGCTCGCTCTCCTCTGCCGTTCCCTCCTCTTTCTCCCACTGGTACCCTCCTCATCTCTCCCCGCCTCGTTTCGATACCATTCCCTACCCTTTCTCTCGCGATAACCACCTCTTCCGTCAGGGACGGATCCAGGGAGGAAACTGCATAAAGAGAATTAATTTTTCGCATGTTTCTGTAAGACGTTCTCCAGAAAATTTATAAAATATTTTTATTTTCTTGCAACACGCGACAGATAAAATATCAAGGATAGTAAGAATAATCATGATTAGCTTCTTCTCGGTTGGAGAACATAATTTTTTATGTCCATTGCAATTCCTCCCGTAGGTACTTTCCAAGATCCACCTCTGTCTGCCCTTTCCCTAACGTCCTCTCTTCTCCTTCCACGTGCGCCGCAACCCTCGACTTTATTCGCGCGCCTTTGCTCCCTTTACGTTTATATCGGGTGTCTGTAACAGCGAGTTATTGTGGTATGTCGCTTACTTCTGGAATTCACGCACGCGTACAATAGAGATGAATAAGGTGAACAATGTTTGTCATTTCCTAGGACGAAACAATATAAATCCCCATTCTTACGAAGAAAATTTAATTTGACACAGTGGATTCACTAACATAAATAGAATATTAATACGAGGTCATGAACACAAAAGAGTATAAATAAAATTTTTCTAAATTATATTTCGTATCGTATAAAATATGAATGAGAAAGCAAATGTGATGTTTTATTTGCAAATTTCTTTGCTATTACTAAATAGCTATTATTACCAGCAAATAAAAAAGTTTTTCTTATAATGCAAACTAAAAGAAAAAATGGAATAATAAATTTATAAATCGATATTTATGAATGGAACAAATTATGCATTTAAAACTTAATTAAATTTTAATACTTATATCATGTTTTAACATTCAAAAATGTGAAGAATACTTTTTGTACTTTTTACTTAACGTTAAGCTAGAAAGAGTAGTGAATTACGATTCTATCAATTGTATGTCAAAATTTTTTTATGTAAAATCTTCTAATTTAATTGAAGAACAAAATTTTACTGCTGTTATATTCATGTAAAAATATAGGATTTATTGATTAAAGTTTATTAGCCTTAACATTTAAATTTTCGCCTGCTACATCTTTTCGTTAATATATATCCAAAATCTTTCATGAGATATCTGTCAAAATCGTCTGTCCAACATCTCCAAAACGTATATTCTACAAATAGCGTAATTAACTTCCTTGATATTTCTCGAATATTTTTCCGGGTCATCAACCGCTTCGTATATTGTCTTTCTCTGAGGAAGAGCTTTCTCTATGATCGGATATAAAAATTCCAAGAACAAATGAGCCTCTCGAGAAAACGAGATTGATAATAAAAGAGAGCAAACGAGCATAAGACGAATCGATTTTGCAATTAATTAATATCGTCCTGTTTTAAAAGGACCTTTCCTCTTACTGTGTGCGTAATATGGTCGCAATCTCAATAACGTATCAATTATGAATATAATCAGTCTCTCTCGTAATCGTTGTTTGCAATACGATTTGTCGCGATCACTCGAGCTGACAAGCTCTTTTTCCTTCCGCCTCTCGTACTCTTTTTCCTTTTGCACTAGTTATTCACTTCAGCCTTTCTGTACTGGCAAGACACTCATTTAAAAGTGTCATTTAAGAATACGCGCGCGGGATACGTATATCTATTCACGGAGTAATTATTTTTAATTTAAGACGCGGATTCGAGAACCCATTCGCGAAACTGTTGTCTCCACTATCGCATTTAATTTCCCAGAGGACGCTTAATTAACGTTAGAAAGGGATAAGCCGTTGGATCAAAACACTCCTTTTAATCACGTTTTCCTCAAAATACCTATCCAAGAGCTAAGCCCATAGTAGTTTCATGAAAATCAATTGTCAACAATACTGCGATGTAAAGAAAAAGGTTTGATTCTTCTTACATTTTAACTTTTGCAAAGATCATGATCAATTCTAACTTTAATGTACAACCATTTAATTACCTAAGTATACTGCTATCACAATTAATTATAATCGCTAAATACGGCATGCGGTTGTATACTCTATGAGTAAATCGCGATATATTGTAAATAATTTGTACATTATAAAAAGTTTCTCTGTTTTTATAATCACCATAATACAATAATTAATAATATACAACATAAATATATATATATATATATGTATATTAAAAATTGTGAAGGACTAATAAGAGTACGCAACGATATGTGGTGCGCAAATTTATATTCAATAAAATATATTCGAAATTACATTACTCAGTAAATCGAATCCCGGCTGAGGTAATATTTTTCGCAATAATTCTTCACAGTGTTTTAAAGATATTCATTAACATCAATTAATCTTGAATTGTTTGTCAATTTAATTTGTGACATTACGTATTCCAATTTCAACCTTTATTTTTTAGGGCTACGTTTCAAGACCAACAAATAAATTATAAAAAAATAACATAATTCAAAAAATATGGAATTATTATATAATATTTGTACAAGGAATCGCTAAACTTGCATTCAGTCCAATTCAGATTATCAAATAAAAAATGCAGCGCAAAAAATATTTTCTATTTGGCAAAAGATTATTGATGTAGCACACTACAATTTGCAGAAATGATTTTTGGACGCTTATAAAAGTACACATATATGTTGTTAACTCAAACGGATCTAAAAGCCGCTTTTCCGCCCACGTTAAAGATCTATATACTACAATAGTTCCACATTTTTTAATCACATCATTCTCGATATCATATATGTTATTTCCAAAAACGATTAAAACTATTGATCCCCCCGAATATACAATACAACACTATTCACTAATAAATAATTATTTCATCTTCATATCCTCCTATTAAGACATACAATTAGTCTTATGAGGAATCAATAATTCCTAATGTGTAGGTGCTTTTGTGTAGATATTTTAGACACATTGTATATATAGATGCGTCGTGCGCCTGTATTTTGTTAATTATATAATAAAATAACATAAAAAATAACGAGTGTGATTTAATATTTCAGTAAAAAATTAAATATAATTCATTACTTATATTATACAAAAAATTAATATTACAAATAATTTTATGCAATTTTATAACATACGATGTCATTGCATTATTTCCTCGTATAGTTGATACATCATATTGGAAATTCTTTTATGCTTTAACTTTTCATAGAGGTATGTGAGATCTTCACTTTTTTTAATTTCATAGCAGATATCCTTTTTCCACGCTTGCAAAGAAATACGTATCCCTTACTCTCAACTACTCTGCAACGTTCATCAGATCGGTGAAGAATAGTGCTCAGCTAGTTTCCATGTCCCGTAATAGATCGGTGAAATGGAATTTTCTGCTAAGAGGCGAACGCTGATTTGTCTGAGACGCGGAACTTTCTGTAAATACGCGAAACTTGACAGGGTCGTTGCTAGGAAACCTTCATCTCAAAGAGCAAGTACGACTGGTCACGATGCCGATATCATTTCATAAATTCATAAAAATCCTTTTCCTTCAGTGTTGTGATAGTATCAAAGTTCGCTGTAACCGTTGCGAATCACCCCCACAAAATATTTCTAAAAATACACATCGCGCGCAGCAGGAGGCGATCGCCATACGACTCGCATCCTTTGTCACGTCATGCGTCTTATCGCATACTTTTTCGTTTAATCAACCCAGCGTGTGTAGCTTTGGTATTCGAGATATACAAAAGCTGATAACTGCAACATCCTACATTTTGTGAAATTTATAACAGATTCTCATTGTCTTTCATGTGATTCCCTAAAAGAACAAACTTTGTACGCGTCTGTCAATACACTTTAATACATTTTTTAATACACTTTAATACGCTCGATATTTCAAAGACTCATATTTTATTTATTTCATAATAAATCCGACTTACTTATTTGATGTATGACTGATGACCTTTTATGTAGCAAAATTCTTTATATTATATGAAAAGGGTATCTGTCTTTTTCATTCTGTATGAGTTAAATTACTATAATCTCATTATTTCAGTTATAAATGATGTTACAAATTATTAAATTATTACGTATAGAATTTAAAAAAAAGACTTTCAAGTTATTTTCAAAGAAATTCACAAGCATGGAACCTGATTAATCTCAAGCAACTATATAAAATGATTACTTATAATAAAAGTAAAAAATAAAAGTTTATATACACCGATATCGATCCTTTTGACTGTTTTAAATCTGAAAAAAGGAATTTATGGAACGTATTTTTATATTCTGCTTAATAATTAGAAAATAATATATATGCAATATATAATTTATGTTATTTTTATATTCACACAGAATTCGTGTAATTATTATACCATACTGTACATTACAATAATATCGTCTTCATCAAAAATCGGATCCTGTTACACAGAGAAAAAAGCTTTCTTTGGATTTAATATTCCTATTTATTTGACTAAAATTTGTTTCACTGAAACAACATATTCACGAAAATTTTGAGCGTAACACAAGTCTCGCGAGCAACGCAATAAACAGAATTTATTAAAATCGTCGCACATAAAAAAATTTTTGTCATAATCGTAAAGCCTTAAACAAACCGACCGATTACAGTTAAAAGTGCAGTCTTTTAGAATACTTGACCGTGATTGGTCGATATGCTTACGATCTTACGACTAAAATGCGATTACGTCTAAAACTTTTTTGTATGTGATGGCCTTTACAAGCAACTGTGATAATTTCGCGAGCACGCTATAATAAATTTCCAACAGTCGCTAAATTGTTAGGATCGCAAAGTAGAAACCAATGACTGATTAACATCACCGGTAATAAGACGCCATAGTCATTTCCCAAGGAATCTATTTCCGTGAAGAACGCGCAGGAAAAAAATATCGTAATTAAATAATTTATTGCGTCGGCATCGGTGTATCATGAATTGCGATTCCTATGTTAAGAATTAATAAACTTCAAAT